ATATTAATTTCACAATACAGTTAGAACAAAATAATCTTTGTCTGTCAAATGGCAAAAGCACTTTGTGTGTAATGAGAGGGAAGGACAGGTAGTGACATTACATCCCCTCCTTTCTCTATGCACACACTGAGCTCTCCCGCAGTGTGTATGAAACATGGTTAGGTACAGTTGCATGGATGAGGAGGTATGTTGTGTTCTGTGTGTGTGTATGTATGTGTGTGTGTATATATATATATATATATATGTAAAAGGCCATAGGCCTGAATTTGTGGGAGGAGTTTTTCCTATAAAAGTTCTACCTACCTATGCTGGTTCCTGTAAGAGTGACTCTTGCCACGACATACAGCACTTCCAGTTTCTGCGGCCCTCTATTTGCTCCAGAAGCAGCCACGGACTCGTCTTCAGTCTCTGACCCGGCTTACAGCTCTCCAAACTCAGCTTGCAGCTTAATTTGGGGCTCCATCCACCCGCAGGGCCTCCTACCAGGTTCCCATTCTCTGTAACTGGCTTCCTGCTGCATGCTCACGTATATACACGTCGGAACCCGTTCACAGCATTCCCATGTTCGGGCCTTACAAATGCTGGGATTGGCTCCCTCAGTTTAGCTTTATTATACTGTTCGTCTAATTCTTATGCCGTTCATCTAATTCCTATGCCGTTCATCTAATGCTGTTCATTTACTTTGCATTCATGTAATCACTTTAGTTTAAATGCAGTCATGTAATCACTTTCGTTTAAATGCCTTAGTTTAAATCCATTCGTTTAAAGTAATTTTCGTTTAAAGTCATTTCGTTTAAATTCATCACGTTTAAATGCATTTTATTAAATCCATTTGTTTAAATTCATTTTGTTTAAATCCATTAATTGAAATACTGTTCATTATATATTTCATTTAAACCACTGGTATCCGTTCCTCTGTCTCATACACTCAGTGCATTCGGTTATTAAGCCGCACGGCTGCACTATATCATTCATACGTTAGCTATACCATATGCCCATTAAAAACCTAAATATATATAAAGACTACCACTGTTATTGTTTTTTTACTATTTTTTGGAATTTGCATAAGTCACAATTACGTTGAGTAAATTCACTTATTTGTACAAATTAAATTGATTCGATCTAAAGAGTTCCTAGACATTATTTAAAATATCATAGATACTTCAGTACATTATTGCACATATCTGCAGGTTAATTACCTGGATCCTAAGGGCCAGTCACATTACTTCCCTCACCATCCCCTGCTACACGGTTATTTAACTTGAAATATATATATATATGAAACGGTTTATTACATAATCAGTTAATGCAAGGGTCTGGGGTTTTAACTCACGGGATACTATTTCTAATACTTCTGCCACTATATCTAACATCGGTTAGATAGCCCATACGTAATTACATACTAATCTATATATACGGGTGTTGGAAATAATACACTTTGGCTATATTTACCCAGGGCTTAAGATACAGATGACAGGATGTTCAGTCTGTTTGAAATGATTAAACGATGTGAGCTATTTGCAATAATGTATTTTATCTATATCCAATGCTTAGTGAATATACCCCAAGACAATAAAGAGCTGTATAATATAATGTAACAAGTAATAGGTGTTATATGCTGTAGAACATCAAGTATCAAGTCAAAGGTGTTATATCCTGTATTCTTCTGTCTGTCGGCCTTATTTCCTGTTTTTCTCCCTTTGATCATAACTGCATAGTAATGTGTAATTTAGAACTTAGTAGTAAATATCTTTAATTCTCAGTGAGCATGCATATTTACTTTAGAGTGCGTGGTTATAGTGAAATTTAGCTTTGTACAAGGTCCGAACATGAAGATGCACCTGCAAGCTTGCTATAGGTTAAGATGTTAAGATAAGATAGATGATTTTGTTAGGATTGGATAACGCTTGTAAGACCACCCCTGTTTCCTGCTGTACAAAACCTCATATATATATGGGAAGGCGGAGCCTGGAGTTGTGGGAGGGTTTGATCCGGCCTATATAAACTCAGACTTACCTCCATACTAGGCCGATGACTTTTGGGTCACTTTCGCTTCCGGTTCCAAAGACAGTCTTCCTCGTGGTTTCTTGGGCCTACCAGTGGTTTTCCAAACTCCCAGAGCTTCCCCCGACCCCAGCATACCCTCCAGCCGGCCGCATCCACCGGGATTCCTTTTTGCCGTGTCCCCGGTACTCTCGACACACTTCTGGGTCGGCCGTCAGGCACCCGGAAACGGTGAGTACAAACCACGCGAATTACGTGATTACAGACGAACCGTGCTAACATGTACAAATACCTCTGTACACAAACGCCTACTTTATATGCGATTAGTTACATAGACAGTTATTCGAACAATTATTCAAACGACTGGGTATTCCTATGAACAACTGCTTATACGAACGGCCACTCATACGAATGGCTATTTTCATGTGTGCAGCGGTTCATATAAACAGCTATTCATTTGTACGGTTAATTACTCGGACGGCTATTCATTCGAACAAAACTAATATGAATGGCTAAAGTTATACGTACAACTAAATATCTATATTAATGAAGTTCATGAACCATTCATACAAATGGAGCTTTCCAGACGAACGCTTAGTTCACGAGTGAACAAACTAAAAAAAACTAAAAATATACATAACTGTGCTATATCAGGCTCCTACCTTAATACTTTTCTGCATGTATACAACATCACAGCCTATAAATGAATATTATAAAGTATACTTTTTTAACTCGGCATAAATCTATTATTTATTTGAAATAAAATTGATAACTATCAAGAAAAAAATGATACACAATAAATCAGGAAGCTAGGTGGATATGTCATTATAGAACACCAATATATATGTGTGTATGTGTATATATATATATATATATGTATATGTGTGTGTGTGTGTGTGTGTGTGTGTGTGTGCATGTGTGTATATAGATATATATATGCTATGCATATTAAAGCACCTCTGGATGTATAACATATAGTGGACCTTAAACTCCATAATATACTATAGCTCAATAAACTGAGGCAACAGGATTTGGCTAAACATATACGTATATGAAATTTAAAGAAATATTAGAGAAACAATGAATAAGTAATTTGTTCATGCAGACCTCTAGGTACCATGGTGTTTAAATGGACACTGTAGGCACCCAGACCACTTCTGCCCATTGGAGAGATTTTTTATAAACTGCCATAATTACCTTGCAGGGTTAACTCCACCTCTAGTGGCTGTCTACTAGACAGCCACTAGAGGGCACTACCGTGTCCCTAGCACAGGAAACCTGTGCTAGAGCGTACCTGGACATCCTCACACTGTGTGAGGACCTCCAGAGTCGCTCAATTCCCTATAGGAAAGCATTGAAAAGCATTTTACCAGCATTTGGAGAGCTCTAATGTGCATGCACGGAGAGCTCTAATGTGCATGCGCGGCATTGCCACACATGCGCATTAGGTTTCCTCAGCCGGCAGGTGGGATCAGTTTTGCCCACCGGCTGATGTAATCACTGGGAGGAGTGGCGGCGAGCAGAAACCACCACCGAGGGACATCGGCGGGGTCTCAGGTAAGTGACCTGAAGGGTTTTTCAGCCCTTCAGCTACCGGGGGATGGGAGGTGGGAGGGAGAGGGGACCTGCAGTGTCAGGAAAACTAGACACATTATTAAGTATATTAAGTGATCAGTCATACAAGTGATATATTGAGTGATGGGAATTCTCTTGCCACTGTGGGGATGGGCAAAGGAGTTGCCAGAGTTCATATGACTACACGTAATGCAGTCACTGCATTTATAACATCCTGTTTTCTTATGTATTGTAGGTTTTTTATAGCAGTATGTAGGATCACTGCGGACCAGCATGTCTCTCAAATTTCTACTCCTTTGTAGCTGACGACAGAACGCCTTTGAAATATAGATGGTAGATTCTTGTCTGAGTGTAATATACCCCAATATTTGTTGATAGATTTACGAATTTGGGTAGCCCCCGTATGAAATGTCAGAGGTAAATACATCTGGGCTGTATCACTAAGTGAGGTACATACTGTGCCTTGTTTCTCTTGGCTCCATTTTTCTGTGGCTTTGGCTTGAGCTGCTTCAAGTATCTGAGGACAATATCCTCTGGCTAGGAATCTATGTGTCATTTCCTGCAGTTGTTTCTCTCAGTTTCTGGGGTTGCTATGGTATCGAAATATACGCATAGATTGTGATATAGGTAGAAAATCTTTGTTTTTTAGGATGATAACTGGTAGCTGTTAATAACGTGTTCCTGTCTGTTTCTTTTGCGGTGTAATGTGTGTCATAACCTTTCTCAATCGTTATAGATAGTAATGCCCAAAAATTGCTGTATGTAAGTGTCAATTTGACTTGAAGTGGTAATGAGTTGATCTTCGTAATCTGTTTTTCTAGTTCCTCAGGGGAACCTCACCACAATAAGAACACATCATCCACAAATAGATGATACATAATAATTTACTCTGCCAGTGGACTAAGGATGTACTTGTCTTCGAACTGGAACATATATGCATTAGCTGTCCCGGACAATTGTAAATAAAAAGATTCTTCAAATTTAACATAATTGCACTTAAGAGTAATGTGTATAAAATCAAGTAGATATTCAATAGGGGAACCACAGTATTTATCAGATGAACTTAAGATATCTCTGAGTGCCTGTATGCCTTCTATATGGGATATAATTGTGGTAAAAACTAAAAGCACATTCTCCTCCTGCAGAGATGTCTTATTGATTTTGTTCAAGATATCATTGATAGTTATCAATTTTATTTCAAACATATAATAGATTTATGCAGAGTTATAAATGTACACTTGTTGTGGTCGTGACCTAAATATGAATATTAATCTCTTAATACATAATAATTAAGCAATACGGAACAACATTAATATTTTTATAATTCATGGTATTATGGTCGAATATGTGGATAGAAAATACACAAAACGTTGTAATATTAAATGTATATTTAATATAACTATAACAAATAAACAGATGCTAGCAGAATGTCAATTTACTAAAATTATGATACAATACAAAACTACAACATATTACTTACAAAAGGTTGCTACATGTTACACAAAAGGCTAAATGTTCATTTTACTTACAAGGCCCCAGCCCTTTGGCTGGGGTTAAGTCAGAGCTGGTACTACATCTTAGGTTCAGTCAGTTACAGGCAAAGGGACAGAGTTTTCTCCTCCATCTGGTTTTATTCAGTGTAAGTAGGCTGGCCCGATATGTCACTGCCAAAAGCACATGTCTTCCTACACACTCCCTCTAGTGGTGCCCCCAAAGCATTACACTAAATATGCTTTCTTTATGATGTAAAGTCATTAATTAGTAAATACCATTACAAACCACCCTCTGACTTATGTCATAAAACAAGCATTTATAAAACCAGTACATTTTGAATATTCCCCATTTTAACACTACCTGCCCTACAACAAAACCCACCTTTTGAAGAACGATACCCATTTACCCATTAATTATTACCCATTAACATTTTATTGCTTATAAATGTTCACCATTGAGCACATGCATTACCAGTTGGGAAATAGGCACATACCCACCCTTATAATAATGAACAACTCAAACCATGTTTTATTAGATTAACCAATGATATTGTGTTCATGTGAGGATATGTTTTGGAGCTTAATATAGTATTAGACACCACAAACTCATAACACCTATGAATCATGGCACAGACCGAGCCTCTGGCTGGTCTGTGTGCCTGGAATTTTCACAAACATTAGTCCTGGAAACTGGATACTCTATTCTTCGACAGTCTCATAGAACATACGCATGGAGACAGGGATGAATGAAACAGTTCATGTGATCAAGGACTTTTGTGTGTTTGTGGTATTCCATTAACCACCTTGACGTAATAGTTTCCTGCTCCTGAGGCATTTTGTTCCGACTCTCACCACTCTTAGCTGCAATATTTTTTCTCCTTACAGCAACAGTTGAGCATAGTGTCCAGTGCTTCTTCTTCTTCTGCTTAAAATATCCTTGCTTGAAAGTTCTTGAATGAAAACACAGGCAATGACGAACACAAAATAACTGTGCCAATCATCACAAGTACCATTTGACTGTGGTGTCTTAACCATATTTTTTCCTATGGCGTTTGGATAAATACCTACACACCTCTCTTCACATCCAGCACACTCCTGATTCACAGATAAACACAATATCACTGCTGTATCTACCAATTTAATCTAAACACTCGTCATCACTGTTGTATTTAACCAATTTAATCTAAACATTAACCAAAACAATTACATTCCTATTTACCACCCTTCTATTTAAACATGTATAGATAACCCAAAATGCCTACTTTCTCTTATCCCTCTTATCATTCTTTTTTGGTTTTTTTTTGAACTGCAACCACTCATGCACTTTACACAGACACAAATCAAGCACCTACTGGACAATGGGGTTCCCTCGTTAGAGCCCTCCCACCCCAGTTTGGTTTACACAAAAATACCCCCTGGTCCCTATGGGTCAATTCCCCCCTTTCCCAGGCAAGCATACATACATACATACAACAATAATAATACATAAGGGTTTCAATTGCAATACAATCACTAGAAATAAGAGAATAGTATGCACAAAATCATAGCATAGACATGTTAAATAGACAATAAAATAAAACATTCAATAGCTCATCAAAGGTCAACATTTAAACACTGGTCTCCATCTGATATTCTATCTGTGTTCCAATGTCCACCTCTGGTTTCTGCTACATCTGAAAAGGTTAGGAAACAGATCAGGATTACTTTCCTAGTCACTTATAGCGTATACTGCAAATATTTTACTTAGATATATATATATATACATATATATATATATATATACATATATATATACATACACACACACAGACATGTAAACACATTCCTTCAGCTTTTCATTTTATAAACAATTTGTTCAACAAGGTAACTTTCTTAATTTTCTACTCGGCTCTTAAAATAAACAATCAGCTAATAGCTGCTTTCTGCATCTTCCTTGCAATTCAGGAGTACACAACACTAAAAGTCCAATACTCAGTACCCCCTAGCCTAAATTCCCCACCCGCTACTGTAACTAAGTTTACAGCCCACGTTATGGCAGTTCACCCGCTAGGCAGATATGCTCAGTACCCCCTAGCCTAAGTTCCCCACCCGCTACTGTAACTAAGTTTACAGCCCACGTTATGGCAGTTCACCCGCTAGGCAGATATGCTCAGTACCCCCTAGCCTAAGTTCCCCACCCGCTACTGTAACTAAGTTTACAGCCCACGTTATGGCAGTTCACCCACTAGGCAGATATGCTCAGTACCCCCTAGCCTAAGTTCCCCACCCGCTACTGTAACTAAGTTTACAGCCCACGTTATGGCAGTTCACCCGCTAGGCAGATACACAATACACCCACGTATTACTTATTTTATATTTCCTGGTCTCTCAGGGATATACAATAGCTAATCCCCTTCCCAGGGCAATATAAAACTGACACAAACTTTTAAGCAATACAGGATTTCAAATGGACTTATGAGTAACAAATTTCTAGCCAACGTAAACATGTTTAATAACTTTCCACCCTTTGGTTAAATTATAGAGGAGTGAACCACAACACCTCTTCCGCCTCTGAAAGGATATAGGTCAATATGTCTCAAAGTTCAACACTTCTGACAGCTATGAGTGACTCCCTATTAATTTCTAGCCTTTCCACGGACATGCTTGCACCTCGCGGCTAAGGGCCTGCACAACTAACCACCCTGTGATGGCAGTGGCTTTCCGCATGGGGGTGACCGCCCCCGCAAAATTATAGAGGAGCAAACATACAGCAGCCTCTTTTCCGGCTCGATTAAAGGTTCTGGGCCAATATGTCTGCAATTTAACCAGTACACTCACGTATCACTTATTGTATATTTCCTGGTCTCTCAGGAATTTCTATTAGATAGCGTATCCCCTTCCCAGGGCAATATACAACAAAAACTAGTCACCAAGGGTCTCTATGGTCATGATAGGCCACCCTACCACTAGTGTAATACGCCCTTTTTTTTAAAATATATTTCCTGGTCTCTCAGAGATGTTGCCTATCCCTTTCCCAGAGCAATATATATAAACAATTACAAATAAGTTACAAAACGCTACTTATAAGTAATACAGGGTTTCAAATAATAATACAGGATAGAACTGCACAACAACTATTGGGTATGCTCCCCCTTATCCGGACACGTTTAAATACCCCCTAGCTCAGGTTCCCCACCCGCTACTGTAACTAAAATCACAGCCCACGTTATGGAGGTTCACCCGCTAGGCAGATACACCCTAATTCAAAGCATGGAAATATTAAAATCAGTTATAGATGGCTTCTAAAATAATATAAATCTTAATCTGAGCCCCTACACTTACTTTGTTAAAAATGCTAACTTGTTAAAATATTCAGACTAAATAGGACAAAGGAATTATTTTACCATTTTTTCAGTTCATTTGTTACCAGTTCCTGCATATGTCCAGTAATTCCTTAGTCCTGGATAATAAAGCTGAAAAACACTCCACAAATTGATTAGTTTAGGCAATTACATTTACAAAACAATGCAGTTTATTTTTTCTCATACAGGCAGGACTACCCACCCCCAACAAGGACAAATTCTCCCCCAGCTGTAGCTGAAAAGCATGGTCACACAGCTGTTAAAAAGGTGGTCTCTCCTTCATGAGTCAAAATCATATATATATTTATACTAATATTCTGTGTATACGCACACATAAATCTCTTAACTACTAATTTAATACATTTGTCCACCAAACAAATGTAAATTAGTACACAAACAGGGTCAAATTTAGCAATAAAACCTGGTGAACTAGTTTAGTGAAAAGTCTTTTCCTATGCAAATGGTAGCAAACAATGAAACTAGGCCTCAACTCATTCACACCATGTGGTCAATGGTGGATTAAAATCCACATGGTCAGACAAAAAGTAAAATTGTTTTTTGTTTTATATATAAAAATGACCAAAGGTTGGTAAAACGTAACAAGCAACACAATAATTCATCACTATGTTCTACAACAAGAGATACCTTAAAAAACAAATATCTAATCCCTATCTGCTATCTGCATTCATTCCATTAAAACCAAATCATCATTCATTTATTCATTTGTATACAGACAGACAATTTACAGTATGATTTAAGCAAAATGCATAACATTTATATTTTCCCCAATATTCAAGCATAATCCTGCCGACTACGCCAAATGTTGTGGTCGTGACCTAAATATGAATATTAATCTCTTAATACATAATAATTAAGCAATACGGAACAACATTAATATTTTTATAATTCATGGTATTATGGTCGAATATGTGGATAGAAAATACACAAAACGTTGTAATATTAAATGTATATTTAATATAACTATAACAAATAAACAGATGCTAGCAGAATGTCAATTTACTAAAATTATGATACAATACAAAACTACAACATATTACTTACAAAAGGTTGCTACATGTTACACAAAAGGCTAAATGTTCATTTTACTTACAAGGACCCAGCCCTTTGGCTGGGGTTAAGTCAGAGCTGATACTACATCTTAGGTTCAGTCAGTTACAGGCAAAGGGACAGAGTTTTCTCCTCCATCTGGTTTTATTCAGTGTAAGTAGGCTGGCCTGTGATGTCACTGCCAAAAGCACATGTCTTCCTACACACTCCCTCTAGTGGTGCCCCCAAAGCATTACACTAAATATGCTTTCTTTATGATTTAAAGTCATTAATTAGTAAATACCATTACAACACTTTATAACATTCATTAAGTATAGACTGTGATGTTATGTCCATGCAGCAAATTATTAAGGTAGGAGCCTGATATAGCACAGTTATGTACTTCCACAGTATGGTCACGTGTCCTGCCTGTGTACTTCCGGGTTCGGTCGGGTGTGGCATATCTCCTCACATTTCATTGGTAAGTAAATTACCTTACATTTCTTATTTATTTGCACTAGAGATGAGCGGACACCTGGATGTTCGGGTTCGCCGGGTTCGGCCGAACATCCGCAAAAAGTTTGAGTTTGGAGTTCTCGAACTTGACCCTAACATGACCCCGAACCCGAACCCCATTGAAGGCAACCCGAACTTTTGGGCACTAAAAGGCTCTAAAAAAGTCCTGGAAAGAAATGGTGGTAAGAGTCGGACAAGTGCCCCGCAAACAAATGTGGATAGGGAAATAACTTAAAATAACATAAAATACATAAAAATTTAAAATATTAATCTTGAACTAGGAGGAGGAGGTGAATGTGGAGTAGGAGGTTGAGGAGGCGGTGATCGTGGCGGTGTAGGTGGAAGCGGGGGTGGAGGAGGAGGAGGTGGTCAACACTGGGTTTTTTTTTGTTGTTTTTTTTAATTGGGGTAGCCCCCAAAATATTGGGACATATAAAAAAAGAAAACAAACAAGTTCAGGCCATTTACCCAATTTGGAGACCCAGAAGTTGACTGGGGCAGAACCATCACACGTACTGTTCCACCATGTTGCTGAAATGTTGCCTCCTGCTAAGACGTTACATATCAGCTAGTGATGCTGGTTGTTGTGGCGTGCTGACAAAGCTTTTCCACATTTCAACCACGCTAACCCTGCCTTCTGAGGTGCTGGCGGTGCCCCAGTTGCGTTGGCGACCTCTTCCTTCTTCTCTGCCTTCGCCTTGTGCTTCCACTGAGCACCCGGCATGGGCGTAGGAACCGAAAAAAATCTGGGGGGGAAATCATTTTTACCCGCCGGGTATATTCTTATTCCGTAAACTAGGAGTTGTTTATCCCATTGTACAGCGCTACGGAATTTGCAATTGCTATATAAATGATTAAATAATAACATTAAAGGGTCACTACAGGGAAGGGATTTTACTTACCCGGATACAGCGCCAGGATCCTCCTGATGCCGCGCCCCCTATTTCATCAAAATTACGAAATAGGAGGGTGCAAGCAGGGAGCAATAAAACGCTTCTATTCAGAAGCGTCATTGCTCTCTGGTGTGCATGCGCAGCTTTGCCGCACATACGCAGATACTTCATGGGTAAGACTCCTGCCAGAGTGGAGTACCGACCCGCGGCACCCCCTCCAGCTACCATCTACCAACCACCGATGCGCTGGCCAGCAGCACCCCCTCCAGCTAATAACTACCCACAGCCACAGCGGTTCAACTCACGGGACTACTCACAACCCATCCGATGTTTTGGGTGCAAGCAGCTAGGGCACAAACGACCAGAGTGCCCGCTGAATAACGCTAACCAGGCACAGTCTTGGAGGAGACCGACCAGCGGAAACCAACGACCCCCTCCGCCTGTTGCCCACTGCGTAGAGGAGGAGGAATGTTGGGGCGTTCTACACGAGGCAGACCCTGTCCAAGCTGCCCACCGCGATAACCGGCAACAACACCGGCAACTGGTCAAAGTAAATGGGAAGGAGGTCAGTGGTCTGCGGGATACCGATGCAACCATGACATTGCTCAAAAAGCACTTGGTACCTGAGAACCAACACACTAGAGACACTGTGGCGGTGAGAGTAGCCGGAGGTGCTATGTTTCGCCTACCCGTTGCCCGGGTACATTTGGATTGGGGAGTGGGCGCTAGACATGTGAATGTGGGGATCATGAGGGACTTACCAGCTGACGTCCTCCTTGGAAATGACTTGGTCCCCCTTGTTTCTGCCTACACTCCCTTGGGCCCTGCTGAGGTGAACGCTGTCACGACCCGTGCCGCCGAGACCGGCCCACCTGCTACGGAGACCCAGGTAAGACACTCTACCCCGACTTGCACCTTAGATCAGGCCCCTTTATACTGAGATACCCCAGAGATGTACGGGAGGGAAACCCAAGGGGGACCCGACTCTGGAGAAGTATAGTGCTAGAGCAGATGCTGGGGAGGAGGGAGTAGATATGGAGCGTTATGAGTGGGTGGGGGATAGGCTGTACAGGATCCCTAAACTGTCCCAGAAACAGAATACCCCTCCGCAGAATCGGCAGCTGTTGGTGCCTCCAAAATACCGGCAGGAGATTCTGCGGATTGGGCATGATGTGCCATTAGCTGGACATCTTGGGTCCCGCCGCACAGCTCAGAGGATTACTCAGAATTTCTTTTGGCCCAATTTCAACCAAGATCTGTGGGTATATTGTAGTACCTGTGACACATGTCAACGGGTAGGTAAGCGGGAAGATCACCCAAAGGCTAGGCTTATATGTATGCCTATCACTGGGGAACCCTTTGCCCGCATAGCCGTTGACATTGTGGGTCCACTGGCCAGGGCTAGCCCATCCGGTAAGAAGTATATTCTCAACGTGGTGGACTATGCCACCCATTATCCAGAGGCAGTAGCGCTGTCTAATATAGAGGCAGAGACCGTAGCTGATGCCCTGGTTAAGGTTTTTACTAGGGTCGGGTTCCTTCAGAAGATCCTCTCCGACCAGGGAACTCAGTTTACCGCTGTGCTCACCCAGCAACTGTGGAAGGTGTGCGGCATCAAACCGCTGCTTAGCTCACCTTACCACCCTCAGACTAACGGTCTCTGTGAGTGATTTAATGGCACCCTCAAACAGATGCTGAGGACTTTTACTGACACTTGCAGAGACTGGGAGCGATTCCTGCCTCATCTGCTATTTGCATACAGAGAGGTGCCCCAGGAATCTACTGGGTTCTCCCCCTTTGAGCTACTCTATGGGAGAAGGGTCCGCGGACCCCTGGATCTCATTAGAAGACACTGGGAGGGAGAGACAGAGCAGGAAGGAACCCCCATAGTACCATATGTCCTGGAACTCCAGTTTCTCCATGCGGCCCAGGGGAGACAGAAAAGGTGGTACGATCGGGGAGCTCGACAGCAGGTCTTAAAGATGGGGCAAAAGGTTTTAGTGCTCAAGCCTGTGAAGATGAACAAGATGCAAGCATCTTGGCAGGGCCCATATAAGATAGTAGCCCAAATATGTGATACTACCTACCTTATAGCCAGCTGTGCAGATGAAAGGATTCAGCGATCCTTTCATGTGAATATGCTGAAGGAGTATCAGGAGAGACCAGAAGATGTCGCTGCAGTATGTGCACCAGCTACGGACGACCCAGAGAATTTACCCCTGCCTGACTTATTAGAGAAGGACCCCCAGACTGACCTCACTAGTCTTGTACAGCTAGGGAATCTGCTAAGCCCCACGGAGAAGGTACAGGCAAGACAGCTTCTATAGGAGAAGCAGGCGACGTTCTCCCAAGAAACAGGCTACACCACGCTAGCTGTACACAAGGTAGAAACCCCCAGACAGAATCCCTTAAGGCAGCCACCCTATCGTATCCCTGAAGCAGTCCAGGAAGGAATGCAGAAGGAAATACAAGAGATGACTAGGCTTGGAGTCATTGAACACTCGGACAGTCCTTGGGCCTCGCCTGTGGTCCTAGTGCCTAAGAAAGATGGTACCCAGTTCTGTGCGGACTACCACTGACGCCTACCCAATGCCCCGGGTAGACTAATTACTAGACCGTATTGCCAGGGGACGCTATCTGACCACCATAGACCTGTGTAAGGGTTACTGGCAGATCCCCCTGGCCGAGGACGCTATCCCTAAGTCGGCATTCCTCACCCCATTTGGTCTGTACCAGTTTAAGGTCATGCCATTTGAAATGAAGAATGCTCTGGCTACCTTCCAGCGTATGGTGGATAGACTTCTCGATTGCTTCCAGGAATTTTCATGTGCATACCTGGACGACATTGCGGTCTACAGTGAGTCCTGGGAAGAACACCTGGTACACGTAGGGGTGGTTCTGGACAAGATTCGGGCCGCTGGCCTGACCTTGAAGCCAGACAAATGCCATCTAGGCATGGTTGAAGTACAGTACTTGGGTCACAGAGTAGGGTGTGGGAGCAATAGACCAGAGCCAGCCAAGATAGAGACCAGAGCCAGCCAACAAAGATCCAGGTGCTAGCCTTCCTGGGAACAGCAGGGTATTACCGACGTTTTGTCCCAGATTAAAGTACTATTGCCAAACCCCTGACTGACCTGACGAAAAAGAATCTACCGAAGCAGGTCCTGTGGTCTCCAGCTTGTGAAGCCGCATTTCAGGCACTGAAGCAGGCTCTTGTGAATGCCCCTGTCCTGGCTGCCCAGTCCCTAACAAACGTTTTCTCGTTCATACAGATGCTTCCATGTATGGACTGGGGGCTGTGCTGAGCCAGGTTGGGGAAGATGGAGGAGAGCACCCTGTCGCATACCTAAGCAGAAAGTTACTACTTCGGGAAGTGAGTTATGCAGCAGTGGAAAAGGAGTGTTTGGCCCTGGTCTGGGCCTTAAAGAAATTGAGCCCCTATTTATACAGACAGGAATTTTCCCTTGTGACGGACCACAATCCCCTTGTCTGGCTTAACCGGGTGTCAGGAGACAATGGTAGACTGCTGCGGTGGAGTTTAGCCCTACAACCATATAACTTCACCATCAGCTACCGACCCGGTAAGCAGAACGGGAATGCTGATGGATTGTCCCGGCAAACCGACATCCCTACTACCTCCTAGTCCAGTCATCCCCACGTTGACCCGCCACAGGGTCAAGCCGGGTCTGCCGGAGTTTCCCACAAGGGGGGAAATGTGTGACAGATCCATCTGTATAGACTAAGATTGCTGGTTCGTCTGTTTTGCCTCTTTTCGTGGAATTACCTGTTCATATGCAAAGGTTCGTTTATTTGACGTTTTTACCAAATTAACTTACAGAACGGACGGCTACCCAGAAGAGAAGTGTGCTGATGGTTAACCTCTTTGTTACAGTACCCTCAGCATGAAATGCACAAACCGCCGTTTAGTGAATCCTCCCCTCTCGCAATAACACAGGCTGCATGCGTACAATCATACGAACCGCAAGCAGGGGAACGCTGTAAACTCATGAACGGGATCCGTACGGGCACTTCACTTCACGAGCTCCAAACTCACGAATCGCCAATAGTAGCCGAACGCATATATCTCCCAAGTGGCTAATAATCCCATCCGGCAGTCTCTAGTCGTCGGTAATAAATCCCCCCAATAACGAGACCAAGCTCCGCATTGTCAGGGTATTTATATCGGCAGACATCTTGTGCTATGATAGAAATTAAAAGTGTATATGCTGAGTCACTTTTGAACAGAGCAGACTCCATTTTGTTATTTCCAAGTTAACAAAAGACACAAGATTTCTATCTGTAAAACTAACCACTTTGCCAGAGCTAAAGGAATGCATAGTATAAAAAAACCAAGTGATAAGGGGAACGGGGGTTGGATAGACTGTCTAAATGCTAATGGAATAGATCAATTCTAAACCCAGACATTTGTGACAGAGAAGATTAAATAATAAAATTTTACTTTCTATATGTATAAGGTCCCATTGTAAGTTACGGGTCAAAACTCAGAATTTGCCAGACACATAGTAACACACAAAGAAACTGTTTGATCTGAAAGGAAATGTAAGTTATGGCCACTATCAAGATAGGCCAAAATGACGTCAAAATAGCCACCAGGAAAAGTTAACTCTTTCCTGGATAGGTATGTTTAGTGGGACAAGACTGCCCTCTATAGACCAAATACCTAAATTGCGATCCCTAGGTAAGCACACCTCTAGTGCTTCTATTGGGTTATCAACTGATGACGTACAGAGAGTCTGGCCCTTTAAAAGTTAGGACAAAGGGTTGAGAAAAGGACAGAGACGAGGGATGCAAGGGTATGCAAAGAAAGCAAAGAAGTGAGCAGTCGGAAGCAATGCAGAGAGGCCTATGACAGATATCCACTCTAGGACACTCAGAAATACCTACAGACATCCAAATAAGTTCCTGAGACTATCTACCAATCCGATGAAATATCTACTCAACTGGTAATTATACTGGTTTCATTTAATTAATTAAATTAATTAAAATTTACTAATAGCAATATATATGACTGGATAAATCACGGTCAGATTTCCATATTAAGAAATCTTAGTTAACTAAAGAATATATAGCTATAAACATTCCATTCTGCAGGTGGAATTAAGAATAATTATATATTAATGTGATATTATCACATGTTAGCATACCGCTGTTTTTATCCAGGTGTATTGATTTGCTCTAATATAAGATAAGATATCTTTTTAGACAAATTAAATTCTGCTTTTATAAAATCATAGTAGATTCTCTTATTGGATGGTTCCAGGAAATGACTAATGAACTGGTTTAAATGTTATTTTATTTAAAATTACATAAGAATAGATCTTAATTACCTAGGGAGATCTAGCCAGCATTAAAAGGGTTATTCTAACTGTCAGCTAAACTTTATGACCTTACGCTGCACTCTGAGGAATTCTGTTCTCTGCGTGAAACTTTTTCTTTCTCTCTGTGAAAGATAGTCATAAAGTAAGTCTTGACAGAAAATGCTGTTTAGCCATTGAAACGTGTATAGCCATTCCTTTGTATTGCATACCATTTTATACTGGATATTCATTGATTATTGTCACGCATGTTACATATTATTATTAATTAATTGTTATTATAAAATAAATCTATTTTTATAACAAAATTGTGATTTTAATTATATGAAATACTTTTCATTTAACACGATAACGACCTTTGGGATCTGAGAATTGAATTAGTGGGCAATTCTCACTGTTTACTATTATTATCCCATAAATATCCCCACATATTGGAGGCACGCTGCTGAGATCGTTTAAGTTGAAATTATATTTCATGTATAATAATATTGGTGTAATTCATGCAATTTAATCTTGACATAGAAAAGAGTTTTGTATTGAGATTAAATTAGTGTAAAATAAAATAATGGCCAGTGGCAGTGATAAATCTGTAACAGATAATACTGAAATAATTGAAGACCTAAGAAAACATGCTCTAGTTCATATTCATAAACATATGAAAAATGATGCAACCTATGAGGTTTGGTTGAAAAGCATAGAATGGGAAGCTAAACACACCATTCTAACTGATGAACACATCATCATATATCTTAAAGAAATTGCTGAACAAAAGAGCATAGAAAGGAAAATGGCGTACATAATACACTCTTGGCCTTTCTTTATGACAGCACTTCTTAAGGTGTGTGATGAAAACAAGTCACTGAATGCCAAATTGGACACGTACAGTGACGATCTGGGCATTCAAAATGGGAAATACCAAGATTTACTTGCTGAGCATAAAACTCGTCAGGCTGATCATGAAAAAGAAATGGAAGCTTTGACGGATAAATATGCACAGGAAATAAATCAGCTTAAAATGCAATTGGATGAGTATGAAAAGGAGAGTCAGAAATTAGACAGTGAGGTTGGTAGTCATCATTCTGTGCCAAAAAGCTGCACAAAAATGCAAGAAAAGACTATCTGTAAATCCCCTCCTTATTATGATTTTCCCACACCAGACCAGGTTTTCATAAAACAATCTGTAAGTAAAGATGTGAGTAATTCTAAAAAATCACCTGTGGAACAAGATTCCCTATCTCATGACATTACCAAGCCATCTTGGCAATCTTGGGCAGAACAGTTTGAAAAGACTGTCTTGGCCAAGCTTGACAGAGGGAATCAGATTCTAGGTGATAGGAATGAAAACAGACATGGTTCTGTTCACTGGCAGAATTCTGATGCTGATCAGGATTGTGACAGTGAACGAGAAGCTCAGAGTGATGGGAGTGAAAGTGATTGCACTGTCCACTCTGAAGGCCATGTGACTGATATGCCATCTGCACTGTTGTACGGGTCTAATTCCTCTTCAGCAGACAGATCGCATAGACGTTTACCTAAACACAGAAACAGAGGTCGTAAATCAACGATGCCTGTTTATGAAACACCAAAGGTCATCAAATTCCTTAGAGAGACTGTCCCACAATTTTCTAGAGGTTCAGGAAACATATCTGAACATCTGGAAAATTATGATAGAGCAATGAATTCATTGGGCATGTATGATGACATTCATAAGAAATGGTTCATTACATGGACCTTTGATTCAATGTGCCGTGTTTATCTAGAAAGTCTTCAAGCTATACAATTAATGTCCTGGTCCAAGATGAAATATGAAATAATCATGGAATATGGTAAGTATAAAACCATTGCTTCTGCAAAGAAGGCGCTTTATAACTTAAAGTGCCGTCCAGATCAAAGCCCCAGAGAATTTTTAATAATTCTTAAAAATGCATACTCCGTGGCCCAAAGAAAACCCAGGTATGAAAGCACAGACTTCAAAGATCTGTATTTTCATGCCATGCCGGTAAACATACAAATGAATCTCGCAAGAGATTACGATTGTAAGTTACCATTAGAATGGCTAGTCAGTCAGTGCATGAAATTGTATACTATACACCATGCACATGACGAAAATCAGCCAAAGGTTAAGAAACCTGGTGATAAAATGGTGTCAGAGACTAAAATTCAGTTAGGTTTAGAAACCCAACAGAAAAAGAGGACCTATTCCGAGGTTTTGAAAACACCAAAACCTCAGAAACAGGAAAACGCAGGAAGCAATTCTGCAAATTCCTCTAATAACTCTGAAAAATCCAATGCCAATGGGAATAAACGCCCCTGGGTTAATAAGAACCAAGGCAATTCCCAATGGAGAAGGAATCCTCAGGGAAATAGGAGATATGGAAACAGAAACAACCAATCTGCTTCCAGTAACTCCCAACAGTCTCAGCCATCCCAACCAAATTCTAATGGGCAAAGACAAAATGGCAATGGGGGAAATAATTTGCGTCGTCAGGTTGGTCAATTGACAGACCAGATGGGCAAATTAATGGAGGAAATTACAAAGATTAACCAAGTCTTTGCCAGAAATCCTTTTTTAGGGATAATTCAAATTGTAGAGCCACCTGTGCAACAGCAGCAACAACAAGTGCCGCAGCAATAATAGCCACTGTGACTAAACAGGCTAGGTTGTCAGTAGATGTAATACCTAACCCTGTTTCCTTTCCAGGTACTAACAGTCAAATAAACAATAGTTGTGTAAGAAAACCTATTGCCTATCCCGTCACTTCACTTCCGAGTGAAGGAGGTGCAACGTGTTCCTTTGTTTTTTCATTTCAGCCAAAGGCTAGAGTAGCCCCAGCAACCACTAGTTTCCAGGACCCAGACCTGAAAGGGTTAACTGATGAGATGCCGACCACTAGTTCCCGCTTGACAGTTCAAGATATTCCTAAAAAGGATGGGCCTGTGGGTAAGACTGAGCATTCCTCAGTACAGGTAGAAACTACTGCTGTGACCAGTAATGTATGGAAAACAAGTAATATGTTGACACATTCTAAATTCTTATGTGAATTAGAAGAACATGAAGGAAGGTACTACATGTCTGTAGAAATACAGGATTCGCTACCCCAGCCTTTCAAAGGGTTAAT